CTGGCCTCGGAGTTTTCTCTGGCCTCGGAGTTTACGACCTGTCTCATGTTGGTCCTGGGTCTCAGCCGCTTTGCTTTCATCTCCTCAAGGTTTCAGCACGGAGCTGCATCGCGTGAAAAACCTGCCATTCTGTGAGACGGAAAAATTCACCGTGCGCTTTGATCCGCAAAGTGCCAACCTGCCCCTGGGCCAGGCAAAAGCCCTCCTGCCCATCAAGGTACCTCGCACCCTGTCCCCTCCTGTGCCCGCGCCGTGTGTCAGCGCAGACGGCAGCTCGGATGTGGCCACGGATCCCCCACGGGCTCTCAGCTGGCTGCTCTCTTGTCCCCCAGGTCACAGGAGGACCCACATTTCACATAGACCTTCATGCCATTGTGACCGTGCCAACCCTCTGCCTCTCCCGGGACAGACTAGAGTTCTCCCCTGTCCAGTGTGGGCAGTGCCAGGAAGAAASCATCCAGCTCCACAATCAGTGCCACATCTCCTGTAGCTGGATCATCAGTGTGACCGAGCAGGTTAAGAAGGTAAAGCAAAGACAACACGGGCTTGGTTGCCCTTCCTTGGTTGCAGTGGCCGTGGTAGGTTTGAATGTGTGGGCTCTGAGCGCTCTTCCTGCCTGTGTTTTGTGGTGCTGCAGGAACCAAGGGTCTGTCCTTGCAGACCAAGTTGGTCTCACGGCCTGGGTTTGTGTGCTTAGGTGGACAAACATTTGCCAGCAAATGTGCGTCGGAAGCTGCAGGCAGAGTTAAAGGCCAAGTCTGCTGTCTTTGAAGTGCTGCCCTTGTGTGGAAGCCTCGCACCAGGACAGCGATGCAACCTGCGAGTGAGGTTTACGCCCACCGAAGAGGTGAGGTTGGTGGTGGGCTCTCAAGGAATGGCAGTGCRGTCTTGAGAACCAGGTGCAGACGGAAGGAGATGAGGTCTGGGTCCCCTGATGTCACTGCACGTGGCACAGTGCCATGTGTGTCATGTACCCATTTTGCTTGTGGGAATAGAGCTGTAACCATTTTGTCTCTGGCTTTGATRAGAGCCAGGAGTAAAGTGGAAGAACCTTTTGTTTGTAGCCCATGTGAGCCCATCTGCCTMTGTCTTCCAGCTGCTATTTGCCTGATGTGCCGAGGCAACCCCTCAGGATTAGGGTGAAGCTCTTYGGGAGCTGAGCCCACCTTCTTGAGGACCTTTCTTTTGGGTGCTACGTTGCACTGGTTCCCTAGGACTTCACAGCAGACTATTTTCAATTTCTCTCTTCCCAGAGGACCTACAGCAGCCACGTGAGGGTTAACATCTGCAAGAGCAACGAGCACCCAGAGCTGCAGCTTGTAGGGCGGGGGCTGGAGCCGCGGCTGGAGTTCGAGCCCCCCGTGCTCACGCTGGGCCCGTTGCTGCCCTATAGCAGTGGGGCGCAGGCCAGCGTGGTGGTGAAGAACCCCTGCGACTTCCCCGTCGAGTTCTACTCTTTGGACTTCGACCAGCAGTACCTTGCTGAGGAGGAGGTGAGAGGAGGCCCTCCATGCGTGGGGCCCCTTGGCTTCACAGGGAATGATCCAGCATTATCCGACTTCAACCTGGAAAATTGGGAGATGGAGGCCAGCTCTGGGATAAAGCTTGGTAGCCTTCCAGAGTCACCCAGATGCCATCGTGGGACACAGAGGGACTTGGGTAGTCTATGTTTGTGAAAGAAGGAAAGGAAGGAAGGAGGAAGAGAGAGAGGTTGGTTGTGGGAGGGATCTCTCACATGATGGAGATCAARCAGCACATCTTATAGCTGGGGCTTCTCTTCCCTGCACTCGTAGATCCTGCGGACATTGAAGGACTATGATTGCAACAAGACYTTGCTGCTGCCACCCCGCGCCCCAGGCGAGAAGCTACCCCCAGAGGTGCTGGAGTACTATGAGGAGCAGAAGAGGCTGCAGGATGAGCAGACCAAGTCCCAGCCTGTGGAACGAGCCAGTTGTGAGAACGGTGAGGGTGTGTGCCAGGCACCAGCTCTGGTGAGGGGGCACTGACCCACGTGGTGCTGGCTGTCCTGAACATCTCCAGTAGGCCCTTAAACAGAGACACCCTCCCTCAGTTGGCTTCATGGTGAGGAGAGACAAGAGAGGTACCTCRCACTGCTGTGCCCAGCTGAAAAGATGCTACTAGTGAAAAAAAAAGCCCTTCTCCAAGCCTAAATGTCATTAAACTGTGCTTAGATCTCCAAAGCGGGTTCCTGTTTGCCCTCAGGCACTTGGGCTTGATGGAAGAATTCCATGTATGAAATTCAGTAGCTTSTAGTATGCATCCTACCAGTCCTGAGGGCCACCAAGCTGTCTCTGCCTGCCACGGAGTGGGAAAATAAGCCCTGAGGGGTCAGAATACCCGCTTGCGTCCCTCGGACACACAGAGTAGGATTGGATGAGTTCTTTGGCCAGTTGTAGGGTCAGGTGTAATGTCCCCAGCTGTCATATTTTATATCTGCAGAACCTAAATTCCCCCAAAGCAGGGACATCACTGCCTCTGTCCAGGAAATTCTCCACTTGTGTGTGCGCCAGTGCAAAGTGGTCAGTGTCAGAGAGCAGCCTTGCCTGTCYGTGCTCCTCCTCATCTTCCCTCTCCCTTCCTTTCTCCTCAGAAATCTCTGAAGAAATCCATTCTCCCTCAGATCAAGGAGGAAAGCATTCTGTTGGGGTGGCTCAAACTGTCTCATCCCAYGCCTCCATCATTCCCTCCAACTTTTTTGATGAAAGCAAGTTCAACAAGGTGGACTTCAAAGTGGAACGTGAAGAAGAGGAGGAGGAGGATGTTGAGAAAAGACAAAAGCCAGGTAATGAGCCAGAGCTTTTCACCTGTTTCAAGTTCCCAGGGGCAAAAGGACCTCAGTGTCATCTCTATGCCTTCACTGTAGCCATGCTCCTTTTGAATGCTGCCTTACATGCAAAATGTATGTAGGTTCCTGGGGTCCKTTCAGTGGTCTCCTAAGAGCACTTGGCAAATGCTATTGATTGTAAAATAAGAGCATGGTCAGATCTCCTGGTGCTGGAACATTTAGTGTGTTTGCATGGGCCCCACATACTCAGCAAATGCCTAGACAAACCTCATGTGAGGGCAACGTGACGGTTTGTAGAAAGAGATTGTGTCCAGTCCACATCTCAGGAGGGTTTGACAGCATTTAGGGCAGATCCTGAGCTATATGAGCCTAACGATAGGACAGGGGGATGCCTTGTATGTGACATGGGTTTTGGCAGAGTCTCCCCTCCCCAGATGCTTTCCAGGATTTGAGGGCACGGGAAAGCTGGTCAGAGTTGTTGCTATAAAGGACACTCATGTTTACACCTGACTTTCTGTAGAGGAACAGCAGGAAAAACACGACRGCAGCAGCGAGGCTGTGGGAGAGCTGGAAAACAGCCCCGTCACGAGAGCCATCGCGCGCTACCTYGGCATCGATATCTCTCCAGAAGGCCGAGCAGCCCAAAACCGSCGAGGGATCGTCGTCATCGTCCATGGGGCGCCCCTGACGGGTGAGGGGGCCACAGCCCTCGGCTGTGAGGAAGGGGACAAGGCGGGAGATGCCCTGGTGGGCGCTGGCACTTGGTTGCTGCCTGCTTTCGGTGTGAAGTTAGGTGGATTCCAACAGCACAGCTCYACTAGGCCATTAAAAGGCCCCAGCCTTTACCTGCGAAAGTGCTGCCTGGCACAGASTGGCAAACACCTGGCTGGTTTGGGGACAGGCCCTTGAAACCAGGCCCTGGCGCAGGGCTGAGSTAGCCCTAAGGGATGAGGTTCTCAGGTGGCAGTAACCAAAGAGGAGCTGGAGATGGTCCCTCTCCCGTCTCTGGAAGAGGACTCTTCTAGCTACCTCACTCTGGCTCTCTGACATCCTTTGAAACTTCTGGGGCCTTCCAGAGCATCTCTCACAGAATCACAGAATGGTTAAGGTTGGAAGGGACTTCTAGAGATAATCTAAATGCTAGAGACCAACGTTCCTGCTCCAGCAGGGACACCCAGAGCACGGGGCACAGGGTGGCATCCAGGCGAGTTTTGAAGACCTCCAGAGAAGGAGATCCCCAGCCTCCCTGGGCAGCCTGTGCCAGTGCTCTGGCACCCTCACAGGAGAGAAGTTCCTCCTCACATGGAAATGGAACTTCCTGTGTTGCAACTTACATCCATTACCCTGTGTCCTGTCACTAGCCACCACTGAGAAGAGTTTGGCCACTTCCTCCCTACGTTTTCCCKKCATGTCCTTATACATGTTAATCAGATCCCCTCTCAGCCTTCTCTTCTCCATAGAAAACAGGCCCAGCTCACTCAGTCTCTCCTCATACGAGAGGTGTTCCAGTCCCTTATCATCTTGGTTGCCMTGCGCTGGCCCCTCTCTAGAAGCTCCACTGTACCTCTGTGAAGATGCCTCATGCATGAGCAACCCCCAGCGACGTTCCTCTTTCCAAAGGAAAGACGTCGGCAGCGCTTGTCGTGTCCGAGTACTACGGCGCTGCCTGCCTGTCCATTGACTCGGTAGTGACAGAAGCCATCAGCGAGAAGGCCACTGCGGCAGGACAGCAGGCCTGGGAGCTCTGTGTCAGCGCTGCAGCAGACCAGGCCACCAAGGAGGCGGAATATGCTGGTAAGCAAAGTGCTGGGCCCAGAGCAATGCTTTGGAAACCTGCCCCGCTCGCCCCGTTTCCTTCCCATGAGGAAAAGGGGCTTTTGCAGCTCCCAGGGAACAGCCGTGCGACTGGTGCAGGAACGGAAAGCCATTCTGTAAACTGGCTCTGGAAATTATGGATCCCTTAGTTTGGGGGCTTGTATAGGGGCACCTTCTGGTGCCTCTGATTTCATGCAGCACTTGACACATGTTCCTTTTCCAAAGAAGGAAAAGGAAAAATGTTCCCCTGTACGTTTCTCAGGGCTTTTTTTGCATTTGCTCAGGACTGAGGCCAACCTGCTTCTCAGGAAACCAGCCCCTTAGAGCGTCTGGTGCTCTAAGCCCCACAGGCCTTTTGAGAGCCCCAGCGAGCCCGCAAGGCCCGTGTCCTTGGTGGGGACGAGGCCACCGCCACGYGCTCCTTCTCCTCAGCAGGGCAGCACACGGACGGCGGTGGTGTCTGCCCCCACGGCGCYGAGCCCCGACCCGGCACCGACGACAGCTCGTGCGGCTCCGAGGGCCAGGCCGGCCCACGCCTCAGCTTGGGCAGCCTGGCAGGGGGCAAGGGGAAGACGGAGGGCCCCACRCTGCAACCCCTGAAACAGCCCCAAACGGACCAGGTTGGTTGGCGAGCAGAAAACGGGACCGCGCTGGGGGATGTTTCAGCTTCAGTTGTGTTTGAGCTGCTCTGTGAAGCGGAGGAGCTCCTCAGAAGGGTCTTCTGACCATGCTCACCCAGGGATATGCCCTCCGGGGTTGTCACCTGGGGCTGCTGGCTGGTGGTTTCCTCTCCAGAGGATCTCCTACTAGTGAGAGACACCAGTTCTGTGGGCAGGAGACCCAGCAGTTGCGGCAGTTTGGGGCTCTGCAGGTGTTTTTAGTTTTCTTGTGGCAATGAGCGCTGCAGGCCTCAGCCAGCCCTGTGCCCTGCCTTCCGCCACAGCAATGTCTGCCCATGGAAGCCATCACAGCGGGAGAGACACCCACCAGGGCCTGCGTGCTTCCTGAGGAGCTGCTGGTGACCATCCTCTCGGAAAGGTTACAGGTATGGCAGGTCTCCCCTGGCCTTCTAAGCCAGAGCGCTGGGATAAAAACGTTCCAGGCTCCGTGCTGTAAATTGCCAGCGTGTAGGAGAAGGTCAGAGCTGGCTCACCTGGGGCAGCAGAGGCTGATGTCCTTTGTACAGCTTTGTTTGTAGTTGAGAGCTGTGCAYGCTCTTATGGACCTTCTCTTCTGACCTACTTCACAGCTGAGTGACTGCTACCAGGGAGTGGTGTTTGATGGCCTGGAGACCCCCTTTGCACGCAACATGACTTCTGCTCTGCTCTGCCTGCTCAAAGCTGCCCACAACCGACCGCACATCTATTTTGTGAACCTGTTCCAGGATTATGCTGCTATGAAAGCTAGGGAGARGGAACAAAAAGAGCAGGAAGGTGAGATTTTTCATCTCGGCAACCCTCAAACGTTCTTTCTCAAGACCTCAACCCATGGTTTCTGGAGCTTTGCACATGAGCCAGATAAGGCTACTGACAATAGCTTGAGGGTTCACAAACCTTTCACTTCAGTAACCAAATCAGGAGGGTGGGTGAATGATGAACCGGGGTGGGCAGGAGTTGTTACTCCTCAGGCCACCGGGGACTGCAGCTGTGGCTGCAGTTGCTAATGATTTCACTTCTGGTCTCTGTTGAAGAACGGGAGCGGAAGGAGGCTGCCATGAGGGAGAAGGCCCGTCTCCAGGAGCTGGATGAGGAAGGATATGATGCCCTTACTGAGGAGCAGAAGTATCAGTTTGATAATGAGCTGCGACAAGCCCTACGTGAGAGGAAACAGAGGTCTGTGACTTTTCTACTGGCAACATCCCAGCACTCTGCCCAGCCCTTGAGTGGACTCAGGGTTATGAAGGGAAAGCCCAAAACTTCTCTTACCTCTCTCACCAGTGGCACAAGTAAGGTCTGTTCCACCTCACTGTTTCTTGACAGAGGAAGGAGCTTCCTCTAGTGAGATGTGAAATGTCATCTCTGGCTTGGCAGGAGCGGGGTACTCGCCTTACTGCTGACTTAGAGAGGCATCTCTAAGTCAACTGTGTTGTCTCRTCATCTCTGTTGCTTTCCCCAACAAAAGGGATCCTGCTATGCATCCCTCTGAGGCTTGGTTTGGATACCAATCTTGCCACAGGTTAAATCCTTGCAAGCTGGACTCATGGGGTTGTCCTCAGTKAGTGAGAGCAGCCAGGAAACATACTTGTAGCTAATGGTGAGCTTGGGAGAGGTCCCCATTCAGCAAAGCAGCCCCAGACAGGAAGGTGTGTGTGGTGAATATGAGCCTGGACTGTTCGGCCAAACTGTTCCTCCTCATTGAGACTAGGGGAACATAGGGGCCAGCTTCAGTGAACATCTCCTTCAAACACGGTCAATGAACAACACCCACAATTGGCTGGGATTCAGGTGAGTCCCAAGATTTTCCAGGGGTGACTCAAGGATGTTTTCTGTTTGACTTACTGCAGGGAGATGGAGAGGCTGGCTCGAGAGCTGGAGGAAAAGAAGCTCCAGCAGGAGCTAGAACGCCTCAAGGAGGAGGAAGAGCTGAAGAAGAAGACAAAGCGGGGGAAGAAAGACCCTGGAAAAGAAAAAGACTCGGGGAGGAAAAGCCAGTTGGGAATCAAGCAGGTGGGTGGTTATGTTTATAGAGGTGAGTAACAGTCCTTGGGTCTTCACCGCTGAGTTGCCTYGTTCCAAGAAAAGTGCAGCCTGAGCCCAGCACTGTGCTGGGCCCAGGGATGGGTACGTGGTAGTAGGAGGTGGCACTGCAGGGCAACAGCAGCTGATGTTTGTGCTGCTGCTTCTTTGGGGATGTTATCCTCCAGGTTTGTAAGACGGCTGCTTCTCTTGGATCATCTGGGCTGCGTGCTGGCCTGAGAATTTATTAGCAATCAACCTTCCCAAAGTGTCAGCCAGCCACAGGGATGCTCAGCACTCCAAAAATGACATTCCCAAGGAATGTCATGCCTAGGCATGAAGAGCTGTCTGAAGTTCTGTGTTTGGTTTGGGAAAGCTCTTGTGGTTTTCAGCTAGTTTGCAGGACTCCTCATCAGTCCTGTGGCTGGTGAAGGGCTTGGTGTCCACTGAGGTTCTAGGACATTGCATCAGACAACATGTGCCCATCCCACAGCATCCGAGTCGGTGCTTTGAGATGCTCACTTCCTTTCCCCCTCCTCCTTTCCAGGGTGTGAACGTGTCCAGCAGCCGCTCGGATAACAAGCTTAACGAAGGGGACGACAGGAGGGGCTCTTCAAAGGAGCGCCCAGACTCAGCTTCAAGTGACAAGGAAGAGAAGAAGAAGAGGAACAAGACTAGCCAGGCAGATGCCCGCCCAGTGGTGACTATGTCACCTGCAGAGCAAGAACAGGACAAAACCGAGAAGCAGGCACAGAGCGACGCTGAGAAGAGCTTGGTCCAGAGGTTCAAGCTCTACGAGGCCTCCCAGAAGGGCATCGCTCATATTTTGTCATTCTGGGACCGAGCTCAGGGTGTCCTACTTTCCCCTTTGGACTTGGACGACATCCAGCCTGAAGCAGAAGAGCAGCGACAGCCTTCATCCAGCCGCAAGAGCCGGAAGGACAGGGAGAGGGAGCGCCAGGAGAAGGAACGGCTGGAGAAGGAGCGCCAGGAGAGGGAACGCCTGGAGAAGGAGCGACTGGAAAAACTGAAAGCGCTTGAGGACTCCAAGTTCCCTGGGCAGGAAAAGGAAGAAGAGTCAGGCAAAGAGCAGGATACCAGGGTGCCCTGCTTGGAAATCCAGGTGCTGAGCTCAGAAGAAGCCAGTGGGAAGAGGATCTTGGAGAGCGGCAAGCTGCCTGATGTAGCTCAGGTAAAACCCTGAGGGGTTTGGATGCTGAGCCAGCCATGGMCTGGGCTCTGGTGCGTCACCCCCTGATTGGTGACAGCAGCATGGAGTCTTGTCCAAGCTGCTGCCTATCTTCCACAAGGGCTSTGCAGCATCCACGTGACAGAGACAGTTCTCAGCAACCTTCAGAAGGGACTTTTACATTTGCCTTTACTCATGCCCCGTGCTCTCTGCTCCAGCATCCTGCTTGGTCCTCCTCCGCAGGTTTTCCTGGGTGAGGAGCAGATAGAAATGGTCTCGGGATATTGGTTATTGGTCCTTACCGTTGTGTTACTCAGGGCGGCATTTTTCCCCATGTCCTGTGAGCATGTCCTAGCACTGCTCTGGAGCCTGCTCGCCTCACAAGGCTTCCAAGAGCACTGTGCTCCCTTAAAAAATGTCTCCAGTGGCTCAGTGCCTTGAGGGAAGGAGCAGCAGGATGGAGGTGGGTAACTAAGCTGTTAATGGGGTTTTCTCTTATGCTTTAGATCCTGGATAGCCTGGGCCTGGGTCCCTCGGGGCCTCCCATTCCTCCTCCTGCTTTTTACTCTGTGATCCACTACCCAGAGAAGCGGACTGCCCTTGCAGTGGATGAAGCCTTCGAGCACTTCATCTTTGTTGCACCAGAAGGTGCGACTGCAGAGGAAGAAAAGAAGGAAACGGAGAGTCTTGTGGATGTCACCGTCACACTGCCGAAGGTAGCGGGGCTGGCGGGCGRTCGTGCAGGGGTGGGTGAGATGCAGGACGTGGTAAGTCATGGAAGAACATTGGGATCCTGCCAGGATCCAGGCTGATGTCAGCATGGCCTTGTTCTCCTGGAAGAGCCTCCTTTCCAGGGAGGACACAAGGCTTGGCAGGGCAGGCAACCCCTCTACTTGCAGCTGCTGCCTTGAGGCTTTTGTGGTGACTCAGTTTGAGGACAGTTATTGCAGCTTCACAGGGACATTGGCTGGTGGCTCAGTGGCCCAAAATGGCCAGTGGAGCTCCCCTTCCCCACAGCCCTTTTGCCATCCTCCAGTGTTGTCCTGACTTTGGGCTGTTGTGTAAAAGAAGAAAAAATCTCACCTAAGCCACTCGCAGCTCCCCTCTTCAGATCTGCTGTGGTTTAGCTCGGTTTCTCCAAGTCAACTTGTCCAGGTAGGGGAACTAGAAAGAGAAGAAAAGCAAAATAGTGTTCAAATCACTCCAGGAATAAGGAACGGGAAGCCTATAGCTCTGTGCTGAGTTTTGTGGTCAAGGGTAGGTTTTGAGCGAGGGAGGATTTTTCAGAATGAGGTCTGAAGAGGCCAGACAAAGAACAGGGCAGAGGACAGGAAAGCACTGTGGAGCAGGGCCTGTGGCTTTTGTCTGCTGTTCATCAACAAACTTGCTGCTTGGAAAATAACCCCAGGACGGGAGTGTCTTGGGGGGTGGTGTCACTTAGAATCACGGAATCCTTAAGGTTGGAAGGGACCTCCAGAGATCATCTAGTCCAACCCCCTGCACACACAGGTCACCCGGAGCACGTGGCACAGGCTGCATCCAAGCGGRTTTGGGAGATCTCCAGAGAAGGAGACTCCACAGCCTCTCTGGGCAGCCTGTGCCAGGGCTCTGGCACCCTCACTGTTAGGAAATTTTCTTTAAGTTCCTGTGGGACTTTTGGAGCTTCAGTTTGTGGCCATTTCTTCTAGTCCGATCAGTGGCCACCACTGCAAAGGGGCCGCCCCTTCCTCCTCACTGCCTCCCTTGAGGTATCTATAGACTGCTCAGGTCCCCCCTCAGCCTTCTCTTCTCCAGGCTGAACAGGCCCAGCTCTCTCAGCCTTTGCTCAGGGGCAGATGTTCCAGGCCCCTGATCATCCTCGTAGCCCTGCGCTGGACTCTCTCCTGCAGCTCCACATCCCTCTTGTCCTGGGGATCCCAGAACTGGGCACAGTACTCCAAGTGTCCCCTTTCTTTCCCCCGTGGTATTAAGGCACCAGAGGAGCAGGTCACCCCAACCCGAGGCCGAACAAGGAAGGAGAAAGCGGAGGGTGGACGGGAGTCTTCCAGGGACAAGCGCAGCATGGGCCGGAGCAAGAAGGGCTTGCAGGCCCCGGCGTCAGCAGCGCCATCTCGTCAGGCCGATGTGGACCAAGGCAGCGTCAGCAGGGACCCATCCGCAGGGAGGCTCATCCGGTGAGTTGTGAGAGCCGAGAGACGAGACAGTTCCCAGGGCCTTCCCACCCGGACGGTGCCTCGCGGCTCTGCCGCAGACTGCTCCATGTGCAATCCCTCCTCCTCAACACGCTCTGAAATTCCCTCTTTTTCTTGCCAGGCTGACCAACTTCCGGTGGATCGTGCCGGCCCATGGGGAGGTTGTCCTGAAGATCCACTTCAGCTCGGTCGTACTGGGCCAGTTTGACCAGACGTACAGATTTGAGATCCTGGGCACRCGCCGCCTCTACCAGCTCTTCTGCCGGGGCATCTGTGTGTATCCCACCATCTGCCGGGACCCCCGGTAAGGCCCGTACCGCCTCCGGGGATGGGTCCTCCCAAATACAGAGCCTGGAATGCACCTCGCAGCTCTGCTACCACATTCATCTCCCCTGAGACCCTCTGGCGTGCCYGTTCCCAGAGCCAGGCCTATCCAGCGTGGCACCTTTCCCTGGGAAGGCCRGAGGTAGCACTTGGGGCATCCTGCCCGAGCAGCCAAGCGTCTCTTCCCACGCATGGAGCTTGGATCATAGAGTCATAGAATCACAGAACGCTTAAGCTTGGAAGGGACCTCCAGATGTCATCTAGTCCAACCCCCCTGYACACACAGGGTCACCTAGAGCACGTGGCACAGGCTGCATCCAAGCGGGTTTGGGAGATCTCTGGAGAAGGAGACTCCACAACCTCTYTGGGCAGCCTGTTCCAGGGCTCTGGCAGCCTCACAGCCAAGAAATTTAATGGGATTATGGCCCTTGRACCAGGATTTCAACCTGCAGCATCTCCATAGCAGCTGAGCAACCATTTTTTCTCCACAGGGTGGTATTTCCTCACCGAAGGAAAACCAAGGGCTGCGACAACATTGTCTTCAAGCAGTACGTCATGGACACAGGCGTGTTCCACTTCGGGCCGCTGCTCTGCGGGAAGTCCCGGCAATGGTACGTGAACCCCCAGGACGACCTGCTAGGAGCAAGCCTGGGCTCTCCAGGACCTGGCAGGTGATGGATGCACCGGAGAGAGGTCTTCCAGGGGCAGAATTCGCGGTGGCCCCTGGAAGGGACTTGGGAGATGACCAGCAATGACCACAGATGTGTGAACTCTAGCACGTAGCAGGCRCTTGTGTCTTGGAGGAACTGGGAGCGGTGGAATTGGGGTTCCTGCCTGGTAGGATGCCTCAGCGACACCATAATAACACCTACAAAGTTTTTTTGGGACCCAAATCATCTGACATAAGCTCTCCTTCCATCCTAATGGTTGGGGCAACTTGTGTCCTCCCTGCACATCCCACTTGYCCACTTATGAACTTTATGGTGCTTTTTTAAACTCATTCAAGCTCCACTGGTAGACTGAAATAGCAATTAGTCTCTTGATGTTTATTATAAACCATTGAACAAGCTCTAATGTTAGACAAACTTTCTGTCTCTGCCAATGTGTGTGTGTGTGACTTGCAGAGGAATAAAAATGGGATTTATGTTTACCTCATTCTTACTACTGGATAAAGTCTACCTGAAAGAGTTGTCATTGTAACTGCTGGCCTAGTTCTGTTTTTCACTGTGCTCTTTTTTTAGTATTAGAAGCAAAGTACTTGCTTCTAATTCATGGGAGCCCTGGAGAGTCRATGGTATTTTGGCAATCCAAGGAAATGAAATTCAAAATCACTTAAAAACACAAGTGAATCTCTGGCCAGGGTGATGAATGGTCTTGGGCTTCTGTTTGCCAGATACTATTTTCCACTTTAGAAAAGAGACTAAATTATAGGACATTGTTAAATGTCCTATAAATTCCTATTTCTTTCCCTGAGTTCAAGAAAACTCCTGAAACATGAGGGTTGACTTTTCTGAAGCACAAAAGCTACACTATTTTTAAAACCTCTTTTCAAGAGCATTTCTTCATACCCTGCAGGGAAGCAACCCAAACACAAAGAGAGGGAAGACACCCATATGCCTGCCTTATTTTTATTTTCCAGCCACTCCTGAGTTTTTATTTTACAAAAGGCTCTTTCTCGAAGTGACCGGTGTCAAACCTCTGAGCCAAGGGCACCTGCAAATGGTGCAGACCCTTGAGTGAGGGTAGAGGTGTGGAGAACACAGTGGTCGCAGGGACTCTGCTGCAGCTCTTCTCTCCTCTTGTGGGCAGGTACAAGGCGCTCCGCTACCCCAGTAACTGTGAGAAGATAACCATCCTCAACGTCACTCCCTTAGAAGCAGAGGTGCATTTCTTCCTGGAGGACGATGCCAACGCGGACACGTTTATCTTTGAGCCTCCCCASATGACCCTGAAAGCCAATGAGAAGCAGGTAAGAGAGAGCAGATAAGGCAGGTGGCTGTGCCCGCCAGCTCTTCCTCCCGCTCACTGAATGGGTTTCTGTGCGTCTTTTTCGGGGACCGGGTCAGGAGCTGACCCTCTGGGCTTACCCCACTTCCTCGGGCACGGTGGAGGACAACCTTGTCTGCTGCATCAAGGACAACCCCGAGCCCGTGGTCTTCCGCCTGTGCTGCCAAGGAGTGAAGCTGGAGCTGGGCCTCAGCTGCAAACTGCTGCATTTTGACAAGCTGCTTCTGCACAGGTTGGTCACCCTGTGGGCCACCGTGTCTTGAGCAAGAGTGGTTGCAAGGTCCYCTGGTGTCACTTCTGACCTGTGTGGCTGCCTGGGTTGGAGGCTACACTGACATCCCTCCTCCTGCAGCTCTTCCCACTTTTGTTGGCCATTCCTTAGTGGTTGTGCCAGTGGGTTTGCCATGCTGACTYCTGACTCTGAGCCACTCAGATGTGGCAATAGAAGACACTTAGCTGCCGTGAGGTTGCATGATTTCACCCATGTGAAAAAGCAGCTTAGGGCTGCCCCTGAGTTTCTTGCAAAGTGACCCTCGAGGAAGCACTGCTGAGCAATGCTGCTGTCTCTGCAGGAAGGACACCAAGACACTGGTCCTGCAAAAYAGCACCCCGCTGCCTGCGGTCTGGAGGCTCAGTGGGGTGGACAGCCTTGGTGAGGATTTCTCTGTGTCCCAAGACCACGGCGTCGTTGGCCCCTATACGAAGTTTAAGCTGCAGATACGTTTCAAGGCCTCAAAGGCTCTCAATGTGAAGAAGACCATCCGACTGGAGGTGAGGTGGAGGTCCCTGTCCTTAGCAAAGCAGGGCAGAGCCATCAGCCCAGCTCAGCTGCTGGCTGGGTGTTGGTTGTTGTYGACCTCCAACTTTCTTAGGAGGTTGGAGATTCTGTACTTGAAAGGTCCCCTGCAGACAGGGTGAAGGGATAGGCCTTCCGTGAGATCCYCTTCACTAGGGTGTGTCCTAATCCCTGTTTGCTTCCCAGGTTTCAGATGCAGAAAACATCCTGGGGATTGTTCAGGTTGAAAACATCCAAGTCCTGGCGGAGGCCTATGACGTTGCTCTGAACATCAGCTTTCCCAAAGGTCAGCAGGTGCCCCCCCCCCAAAAAAGTAATCCAACTGTCTCACATTGYGCTGCCTACTTAGGAGGTGGTTGGTTTTATCAAAATAAGGCTGTGCTCATTGATTTGGGTACCTTTAAGCAACAGTGATAGGCACAAGTAGCTGGCAACTGCTGAAGGCTCAGCACAGCATGTGGTGGTGTTGGATCTGTGCTTGGAAGCCAGGATGGGGAAGCTGAGGTATCCCCTGCATAAGAGAAAGGGCAGCAAGAGCTAGAGACAGCTTCGAGGAAAGGAAACTTGCTGAGAAGGGCCTTGTGCCACTTGAGAATTCGAAATAAGTAGTTTGTCACTGGGTCTATTTCTACAGCAGCTCAAATATTTATCCTTTCTCACCTTAATCTCTGGGATTTTTTGCAGTTGTAGAGAGTAACCTGGATTTTGGGATCCTTAAAGTGATGGATGAAGCAAAGACAACGCTGAATCTGAAAAACAAGGGGAAGTATGAGCTTGCCTACAAGTAAGTTACTCTTTCAGCTTTGTGGTCTGTAACTGCGGGATGCCACCACCTGCCCTCCCAGGCCTGCGCTGCCCTCGTTCTCACAGCTCAAACCTTCTAACGTGCTGCCTAGCTCACAGTCTGGGTTAATACTAAATCCAGGCTCTCCAATCTCATGTGCTATGGGGAAACCCAGCCAGACAGCAGCAATCTTCAGTGTCCAGCAGGAACGAGAAGCCGAGGTGCTGAAATTTAAGGCTCCCACTGCTTCAGTGTCTTTACTCTGAGGGTCTGCTTACTTGTCCGAATGATGTTGTTTTAAGGGGAAAAAATAGAAGAAATCTATATCTGAGTGAGCTTAAAGCACTCTCCATAGTCTGCAGTCCATGTCAAAGTCTGATCTTGATTCCAGTCTGTGAATTACCCAAGCTCAGCTGGAATATATATGTGTGTGTGTGTATATATATATATTTATAATGTGTATATATATATATATATATATATGGCATGGACACTTTTCAATGGAGAGGTTTTTATTCCTTGCCTTCCTCCTAGCTTCATACTGGATGCTGCGGGCACCAACATCCCTGACTTGGCCACGCACTTCACCGTGCAGCCACCGAAGGGGGTGCTGGCTGCCTCCGAGCGCCCAGCGCAGATCCAGATGCTCTTCCACCCCAAGAGGGAGATCAAAATCGAGGACAAGCCTATCCTGAAATGCCAGGTGAGGTGCCTCCACCAGCTTGGCCCACCACGGGTGCAAACAGGACGTGTGTCTTGTGGGAGGAAGGGTGTAGCAAGTACCAAACTCTGCCTCGGTTGCAGCTGATTGAGCCCAGCCTCAGTGAAGGAGAGACCATCGCCATGATCCCGGTGAGGGTATCGGCCAACGCTCTCTACACCAAGTACAACATTTCCCCTGCCTCGTTCATCAACTTTGGCCCCATGATGAGTGGCACCAAGAAAAGCTGCACCTTCATGCTGGAGAACACTGGTGTCCTCGATTTTAAATTTCTCATCTCCAAAACAATCCGGGAAGTGCCTGTCTTGCCACGGAAAGGGTAAGAGAAGACCTGTGCCACCCTTTCTGCCCCTGCCCTCTTGTCCATTTGGATGACCAGCTTCTGAACAGGGACAGAAAAAGGAAAGTCCTTCTCTGTGCCTCGGTATCCCTGTGTATAGTGCAAAGCTAATGATACAGCTGGTCTATGTGTAACCTGTAGCAATAGGTGCTGTGGGTGGCCCTCCTGTAGCCATCAGGAACATGGACCCAGGATGGTCCTCAGGTCGCTGTTGACCTTGGAGAATAGTATGGGGAGCCCAGCGTGACAGATATTTCTGCTTTTCCCTCTCAGCATCTCTGCAGTGAAGTACACCCACTCGCACGAAAGCGAGAKCTTCAACAGAAACCTCGCTGTGAGGCAAAGCAAGCAAATTGACTATCTGCAGAAGGACGTGAACCCCGTTACGCAGGTGGGTGTCTGCAGCTGCCCGCGTGGCTGTGGCTGGTGAGGGAGGACCAAGGCTGTCCAAGCTTGAGGGCTCATCACCACAGGCTGGGATGTGGGCCCAGCAAAGGCAGCTGGAGGTCCTGACGCTAGGGCTAAAGCCACCATCTCCCACACACTGGCAAAGACAGAGGCTGTAGTGCTCTGTCTGAGACACATCCATGTGCTGGCTCAGGCCAGTGCCTCTTCCCACTTTGTCCATGTCAAGCTGGGGCTTTCTCTAGGCCATAGAGGCACCTCTCCCTGCCCTGGGAATGGTGCCTGGACTTGTCTGGAGGCTGAGCATCCCTGCTAGGGTGCTCATATCCTCAAGGGGACAGGCCTTGGCCGCTCCCGGGACTCAGCCTTCAAAAAGGGCGAGAGGGAGGACTTGGGAAACTACAGGCTGTCCAGCCTCACCTCGGTCCCTGGATAGGTGAGGGAACAGCTCATTCTAGAGACCAGCTCTGGGCATGTCAAAGAGAAGAAGGTGCTCCAGCGTAATGAACATGGATTCACCGAGGGGAAGTCGTGTTTGATGAACCTGGTAGCCTTCTATGATGGGATGACTGGCTGGACGATGGGAGAGCYATGGATGTGTCTACCTTTCAGTAGGCTTCAGCAAGGCTTTTGACGCCATCTCCCATAACATCCTCATGGGGAAGCTCAGGAAGTATGGGTTAGATGAGTAGACAGCAAGGTGGATTGAGAACTGGATGGATGGCAGAGCTCAGAGTGTGGTTATAAATGGAGCCAAGTCCAGCTGGAAGCCTGTGGCCAGTGCTGGGCCCAGGGATCAGTGCTGGGCCCACTGCTGTTCAACTTGTTCATCAGTGACTTGGACGAGGGCACAGAGTGCACACTGGGCAAGTTTGTGTATGATCCCAASCTGGATGGGGTGGCCGATACTCCAGAAGGCTGTGCTGCCATCCAGAGGGACCTGGACAGGCTGGAGAGTTGGGCAGAGARGAACCTCCTGAGGTTCAACAAGGGCAAGTGAAGGGTCCTGCACCTGGGGAGGAATAACCCCAGGCACCAGGACCGATTAGAGGTTGACCTGCTGGATAGCAGCTCTGCAGAGAGGGATCTGGGAGTCCTGGTTGACACCAAGTTAACCATGTGTCAACAGTGTGCCCTTGTGGCCAAGAAGGTCAATGGGCTCCTAGCCTGCATCAGGAGGAGTGTTGCCTCAAGGGAAGGTCAAGGGAGGGTATCCTGCCCCTCTACTCACCTCTAGGGAGGCCAAACCTGGAGAACTGGATGKAGTACTGGGCTCTCCAGGACAAGAGGGTTGTGAAGCTTCTAGAGAGGGTCCAGCAGAGAGCGACAGAGGTGATGAAGGGACTGGAGCATCTGTCATATGAGGAAAGACTGAGCAAGCGGGGCCTGTTTAGCCTGGAGAGGAGAAGGCTGAGAGGGGATCTGATCAACATGTACAAATACCTGAGGGGAGAATGTGGGGAGGAAGGGGCCAAATTCTTCTCAGTGGTGGCCAGTGATAGGACAAGGGCCAGTGGATATAAGTTGAAACCCAGGCAGTCCCATCTCCGTGTGAGGAAGAAGTTCTTCACTGTGAGGGTGCCAGAGCCCTGGAACAGGCTGCTCAGGGAGGCTGTAGAGTCTCCCTCTCTGGAGGTCTTTCAAACCCACCTGGATGCCGCCCTGTGCCATGTGCTCTGGGTGTCCCTGCTGGAGCAAGAGGGTTGGACTAGATGATCTCTGGAGGTCCCTTCTAACCTCAGCCATTCTGTGATTCTGTGACACTCTGCAGGCTCGCATCACTTCAGGCACGTTCACGGTGTACCCTGGCTTTGGGTCCATTGCTCCTGGGGGCCATCAGGCAATCACGGTRGATTGCTGCGCAGATTCCCTGGGGATATGTGAAGAGTACCTGTCCATCGATATCAGCGACAGAGATCCCAAGGACAGTCCCCTTGGGATCCCCTATACCCTGATTGCTGAATCCTGCTTTCCAGGTACGTCCATACACCCCATCCTTAGGTACTCATGGCCTAATTGCTGCCAGTCAGCACCCAAACTCACTGCTGGGACACGCAGATGCTCTAGTCCCATCTTAAAATCCTCAAACTCTAATGTCTTTCGAAGTCGGGATGCGGTCCCTTTGGGAAGAGGCAAGGAGGGATATGATGAAAGGAAAATAATACTTTTGAAGATTGAGGGGGACTGAGCTTCATCCTCAGAGCCAGCTCCCTCCTCCATGGTGGGTATTGTGGTGACCTGCATAGAAAGGGCTTGTCAGGCCTTATTGAGGCCAACAGAATCTGSTTAAATTCGTCAGGAAGACTTCTCCATCTCAGCCACCCCTTTTGTCTGCTCACAGCATTCGTGGTTGATGACATAGCATCCATCTTTGAGGAGCATCGTATCTGCAGCAACACCAACCTCTGCCACATCCTGCAGACGGTGGAAGACAAGGGGGTATTTGTCACAGATGAGAACACATTCATCTTCACCAATGTTCTGGTTGGACACCAAGCTGCAGCTCGCTTCAAGATCTGTAATGTGGATAAAATCGCTTGTGAAGTGGTTCTTTCCATCAAACCCATCCCCAGTAAGGTAAGGCTAAGAGTCCAAGGTGACTGTTGTTCTTTTAAGACATTGTGGTAGCCTGATTTGTTCTCCAGATTATTGCTTTACTTTGTCTGGTCTAGTCCAGCTTAGAACACGAGCACACCAAGAACGGACTTCTGCTTGGGCCAGGCCTCTGTTTTGGGCGCTCTCTTTCTCTCCAGGGGTAGGTGTGCAGGGCACCGATGAAAGAATTGTCCTTCTCTCCCATGAGCTCAGAGAGAGGAGAGGAGCCACCACCTCCTGCAGTGGCAGCAATGCTACAGGTCCTTTCGGTGGCAACACTTGATCTGTTTGCTGCCAAATGCTGGGACAGGGTTAAGCCAAGAATCTGCTCGAGTCCAGGGGCCAATCTGGCTCCCATCCTCCAGACATGATCACTTGCATGGTTAGTGCAAGCAGAGCAATAGGGCGGAGCATCAAGGAGTGGCAGTGAGGTTGAGTTCAGCACCTCTCAAGCAAGTTTTTGGCTCAACATTCTGAGTCTACAGTAGGAGTCGAGAACCACTCTGTGAATGTCTCTTGGAGATAGCATGGCCCAAGTGGGTCATTACTGTGCCAAACTTCCAGAGCTCAAAGCAAGCCATTTTGTGAGACTTTATGCCCTGTTCTTTCTTTCTAGAGGCCTATTGTAGGTTATTTACAGGTTTTTCTGTGCAATGTGTACCCCTCATGTATGCTGAGATAGCTACTGACCTTCCCAGCGCTCAGAGCAAGCAGTTGCACTCCTGGGCTTCATGGGCAAGGGTGACACCACTTTGGGAGATGGAATGAGAATGTCTTTGGAGCTGGAAGGACACTGCCCTGGAGTTGTTCCCAGGGAGGCACRTGTGGGTAAGACTGCATCATGTTGAAGGTTTTTTTCCCCCTAACGCTGCTTGTGTGGCTTCCCTCAAGCTTAGCACCTCTACTGCCGACGTCTTTGAGGTGGATCCCGTGCGGATGTGCGTGTCCAGCCGCTCCCACGCTTTTGCCACGGTGACCTTCACACCACAGGCAATGCAGAACTACCAGTGCACTTTTGAGGCTTCCCTTGATGTCCCAACGAGGTAATCTGTGCTGCGAAATCCTAGGATGACATTTTTGATAGCTTGCTCTCTTCTGGGAAGATGTAGACTTGTCRTTAATCCTAAGCCTTTTAGTAGGTTTAGGTAGAGAACTTAGCTTTAGATAATACAAGAAGCAGCAACTGCTAGCTATAACATAGAAGAATGTGTGTCATAGTTTAGTCATAAACTTTGTAGTTGAGTAACTATGAGGACAACATTGGTTAGCTGCTCAGAAGTTAGTGAATAAGGAAAAGAAATGGAGTTGTGAATGGACCTTCCAAGAGCAAAAGGTTCAATGAAGCCACTTCAGTGTTTCCACAGTGTTTAGCCTACATTACTTTCACTTTTTTAAAAATGTTGAAAAGATTGTATCTGGTGATCTTGGATATAGAGTTGGGGCAATCCTCTATTGTGGAACCTCAGTGCAGTGGCTCTAACCAGCTCTCCCCARATTCATAGATCGCTGGATTTAGATGAGTCCAAGTGAATTTTTTTTGACTGAAGTGAAATGATTTTTAACTGTTGCTTTGGAAGGCACAATGTCTTCAAAGCAAATTATTTAAACTCTTGTGAATGACCCTAATTTGACTTGAAGGGAGCTGTGTGGTGGGCGCAGGAGAGTGTGCTGTTGTGCCAGCCAAGGAACGCCCTGTGGGCAGCACCTTCTCCATTGCCTGCCATCTGGGAAAGGTGGGAAGGGGCTGGGGCTCCAGCTATAACAATTTTGTCTCTGTCCCTCCTGCAGCTCCCCAGCGTTTAAACCACAAAGTCTGACGTTCACCATCAGCGGTGACGGGAACCTGCCCCGGGTGACCATCCTGCGCCCGGTCCTTCACAACAGGAGGGGAAACCCTCTGCTGCTCTTCAGGAAGCTGCTGCTGGGTGATTCGGAGAAACTCCCTCTGATCCTTCAGAACAGTGGCATCATACCTGTCCAGGTGAGGAGCTTCCCCAGGGAATGCTCCATATCAGCAGAGACGAAGTCCTTGCCAGTGAAGGAAAGGCCCTGGAGAACACGGCAGAGCTGCACAGACCTGTTGCTGCACTGCGTGTGCAGCTGCATTTTGGTTCTCCTGGGGGCATGTGTTACATTTTAYTGGATGCCATTTTACTGCATTCTAACTGAACTCAGCTGTAGTTTAATTACATTTTATTCATTGCTTTTTAATACTTTCTGTCCCAATTGGTTCTAGTTGCTCTATTTTAATTATGTTCTGTTCCATTGCCTTTGAACACATTTTTTAATGTCTGATTATATACAAGTTTCCTGCTCAGGGTTTCTGTTTGAAATGAAGTGTTGTGTTCCCGGTGGACCAGCAGCCAGTTCGCTGTCGATTCAGTGTCCCCTATCCACACCAGTACAGTCAAGCTCTGTGTTCCCCTTCCTCAGGTGCTGATAGATCTGTTGGATGAAGAGGGCGTTTTCTCCCTGAAAGCCAGGCCTACCACGCACTGCATCTACCAGGCTTCAGACTCCAACCCTGGCTCTGCTGAAGAAGGTAGATGCATTAACTATGGAGTGTACTTAGATCAGCCAGGTTGGGCAGATGCGTGTCCTGCAAAAATGTGTGGGGCAGATGTGTATCTCAGTTCAGACCCTTAAGGTACAACAAGCTTGATGTCATGGTAACCTCATGAACATAGGCAGAGAGTTTGGAGCCATTGGTGGGAGAACCTGGGCTTAGAGAGAGATGGATTTCAAMATATTTTTCCTCTTATGTCCCATGGGAATGTATCTTCCCTATGGCTGGATCACTTGTCCTTGGCTCCCATTGTCCTGCAGGGAGGAAACCTCACAGTGCTTCCCTGCTCTTGCGTCATGAGGAGTCTGCAGAGTTTGATGTGATTTTCACACCCAACTTGACCCAGCGTGTGGAAGGGAGGATCCGTCTGTCTGTAGTGGACAACCCTTATGAGGAGACCAACATTCTGCTAGTGGGTGAAGGCTACCAGGATGACTTCACGCTCGATAACATCCACGGGCTGGTGGCAGACAGCAACGAGGAAGYCACAGAGGGCAACATGGAGGAAGACTTAATTGAGGGTAAGAGAAGAGCAGCTGTTGAGATGGAGTAAGGAAGAGTAAAATACACGGTTATATTTGCCCTGTGTCAGTGTAGGTGGGGTCCAATCTCAGGCGATGGATCCTGTTCCTTTTGTAGCCTGCGGAGCAGCCACACTTGCGAAAACAGGGGAGGAGAGATCCTGTGTTAAGGGAAAAGCATTTGTCAGCCCATCCTAGGGAGATGAAGACTATATATGACAAGGCACGTCCTGTTCACACCTRAGGCTGTATTGGCACCCACCTGACTCTGGCAGTCATAGAGAGACCTCCTGTGTTCAGAGGGAGAGATGAAGAACTGCATCTTCCAGAGGGAGGAAGGCTTGGAGCAAGGAAAAGAATGGGGCCTGCATGTGTCTGTATGTAGGAGGGGACAGATGGACATCACTGCACACTGAGATCCCTTGCTCTCATTCTCCACAGCTGCCAGAGTGGATCACATCCAGTTTGGGGGCTGTCATGTTGGGGCACCATATCAGGTGACCTTCACCATCACCAACCACAGCAACTCGGAGGCGATGCGGTTCGAGTGGCTGGCAGGCCCCCCCTTCCACTTCTCCCCCCAGGTTAGTGTGGATGGCTGCTTGGTGAACCCTGGTTTCCTCCTCAGTCCAGTCCCTTCAGATGTTTCCCCTGTTGGTTCAGGGATTATTTTGGGAAGTAAAGACCAGCCTTGTCCGGCTTCTAAATAAGCCTAGGTGACCGAGGTCCTGAATTTACCTTAGATAAATACCAAAATGAAGAATTTCTGGCAAAGTTGCTCACTCCCTATGCTACCAGTCATGTCCTTGCCAGTGCTTCCAGTTTGATACAGGATGTCTGGTCCTCTGTAGGTGGGACACCTCCATGCTGGCTGTGCCAAGGACATCACAGTGACGTTGAAGTCGGATGTTGCGGTCACCTTCMAAATGCACACTGTGAAGTGTAAGGTGGCTAGGATCACCTTCCAGCTGCCAGCAGACCAGGTTCCTGACTGGGATGACCGCCTGCACACTGTTAAATGGGTAGATGCCACGAGGGGCACCATGCGGCCTATCAAGAAGAAGGTAAGAAGCAAAAGAGCAAGGGCTGCTGTAGGCTGCAAGAAAAGAGCTACCTGTGGCCGCTGGCCACCCTCTCCTCTGCTTGGCTAAGCAGGTCTYGTTTCCTCCTGAAATTTAATCTATCAGGGAGTTTAACCAGCAAAGTTTTACAGGGGAGAGTTGGATACTTGGCGACCTGATACCCATTGAGATGCAAAGTCTTTCTACAACAGATGCTTCAGTCAGGTACAAGCTATTGGCATCAGCCAAAAGCAGTGCAAGTGTTGCAGCCAGTGCTGTATGGGAGGTCACATTTTAAGATTCCTAAGGTGACTTAATTGGTGTTGAAATATCTTCATGTCACTCAGTGGGTCTTTTTGTTGTTGGCTTTTTTTTTTTTTCTATTTTTTTCTCCACCAAAGAGTAGTTAAAACCACTGTGCTTGYTTTGAAGCGAAGGGATGACCATAGCTCCTTTCTGTGTGTGTTGGCTCATCTGCTGGCACCCTGAGGGTGAGCTGTGCCAGCAAGATACCTGACATTTAAGATGATTCCTGTGTCACGAGGGATATCTTGTTATGCCCAGGTATTTTATGGCAGTTATATAAGAGTCTTATCAGCTGATTCTATCATATARTATCTCCATCAGAGCACCAGCAATCACAGACTTTTCTAGTGAGCTCATTCTCATCCCCAAATGCCTGTCTGTCCCAGTGTGGATAGTGCTGCAACGATTACATCAGGGAGTAACCTTTTTCTAACACAAAAGGGAAAAAGATGCTTTTGAGCCTTATACGTTCTGAGGCTTTTCCATCCACGGAKCTCCACCAGGGGAGCTTGATTCAGATTTGGGGTGTATTTTGGGTGGGAAGGAAGAACATCAGATGCTCTCCAGTACATGGAGAAGTACGTGGACTGACACCTGGTCACACCATAGTACAGGTGCATTCACCACTAATGTTTCTCATGCTTCCCCCTAGCTTTGGCTGAGAGGAAGCAATGGTCAGACTTTGTGTTCCTTCCAAGGAAATAAATGGGACCAGTCCTTCTTAGCTCCCAGGATCTGACCCAGAGGGCYCCTAACTCAGTCTGGCTTTCTGGGCTCTGCTCAGTGGATCATCTCTGTTCTCTTTGGAGGTGATAGAGACAGACCCGGAGCCAGCTCACGCCGTCGTGGATGAAAGCATCCGTGAGGTGGAACTTCACCTCAGTGCTGTTGTCGATTATGCCGAGTTCAAGCTGGATACAGACACGATTCAGTTCAAGGAGACCTTGCTYTTCCAGACGAGGACATTCACGTGAGTAAAAGAGGCCGGGCAGGAATGATGTGTGGGAAAGGCCTTTGACCCAGGAGACTCCATTCCGCAGCTGGAGCCACGCGGCGCTCTCCAGTGCGTGTTGAGCTTGTCTTTGAGGAGAAGTTTGCAGTCAAATAATGCTAAATTGAGGAACAAGGCAGGAATAAGCCACATGGCAGCATGTCTAGACCCTCCTAGCTTCCAAACATGTGAATACCTTGTCTYCAGGCAGCCCAGGGCAGCAGTCTGGACTCAGTACAGCTGTTCATGCTGACGAGTATGTCCTTCCCCAAAGAGAAGAGTGCCAGGAGCCCACATTACAATGTTGTTTCTCTACTTAGCATTTATAGTGTGTGTTTTAATATTATTATTTTCTTTTTTTCTCCTGTCCTGTTCTTTTGTAGCTTCCCACTGTTAAACACAGGSCATGTGGCCCTGGAATACACCTGGATGGCAGACGTGGAGGATAAAAGAGCAGTCAGCTCTACTGGGGAACTGTTCCTGACCAGTCCTGAAAGTAAGGCACCACCTCTGTGCACTACCTGGGGTTGCTGGGGATTTCAATCAGCCTCTGAGAGCTCAGGGGAAAGACCAGGCAGTTCATATCAGAGCATGAGAGCAGGAAATTGCTTCTTCTCGGTTGTCCAGCATCATGAACACCATCCAAACTACAGCTGCAGGCTCCCYGCTCACACCCGTCTTCCTTTCAGACAATCTCTGATGCTTGTGCTCAGCAAAAACCYGGCGCGGGGCAAAGCCCCACGTTAGGTCAAGACCTGGAGAGGAGCATCAGGGCGTCTGATGCCCTGGGCCTGGSCACTTCCCAGGGCCTGGGAAGTCTCAGAGACTGGGAAAAGCAGGATGGAGAGCGCAGTTGTGTGATGAGTTACTGTGCATCAGCTGGCCTGCAGTCACTGCCTGCGTGCGGTTCCTCACTCCAGCGCAAGTGCAAAGTCACTGTCTAAAATTAACCTTCCTGCCTCAGTCACGGCAGGGTTTGCTCCAGGCTCTGGGTGGCTGGGGAGTGACTCATTAAATTTGCAGGGCTGTGGTTGTGTCTGAGCACACGGGAACRGGGCTGTTTCCTGAAGGGATGCAAGGCTGTCTCTAAGACTTCTCAGCAGAAATCATAGAATCAGAGAACGCYTAAGGTTGGAAGGCACCTCCAGATGTCATCTAGTCCAACCCCTCCCTGCTCACGCAGGGTCACAGARCATGTGGCACAGGCTGCCTCCAAGCGGGTTTGGGAGATCTCCAGAGAAGGAGACTCCACAGCCTCTCTGSGCAGCCTGTGCCAGGGCTCTAGCACTCTCACTGCTAAGCAAATGTTTCCTTAAGTTCCTGTGGAGCTTTTGGTGCTTCAATTTGTGGCTGTTTCCTCTAGTCCGATCAGYGGCCACCACTGCAAAGAGGCCGCCCCATCCTCCTCACTGCYTCCCTTGAGGTAGGGACACTGCTCAGGTCCCCCCTCAGCCGTCTCTTCTCCAGGCTGAACAGGCCCAGCTCTCTCAGCCTTTGCTCACGGGGCAGATGTTCCAGGTCCCTAATGAATTCCCCTAGGAATGAGGAGGCCTGCCATCCCTCATGCTTCTCAGCATAGGTATCCTCCTGTCCTTCTTGACCTGATGGATCAAGAAGGAAGAGTCCAGCCCTGTTCTGACCATGTTTAACTCCCTCCCCAGTAGGAGCTTCTGTCCTGAGCTCATCTGTTACGCTAACATAGGCTTCCTGACCTTCATCCATGCCTCTTGCACAGTGATGTTCAATGGCAGCTTTTGACATAAGCCATTCTCTGAGTCTCTCCTGAGCTGCTTCACTACATTTGTGTCCCCCAAACACGCCCTAGTTCTCCCTGGTGTCTGTCCTCAATTTTCCACCTATCCCTAAGACTTTCTGGGATTAGGATTTAGAAAGCACTAAGTGACCTGACAGCTCTTACTGTTCCTCTGTGGGAATCCTCCTGCTGAAAGCATTTSGTCAGCGAGTTTTCCTGCTAGCTGCTTTAGGCCAGATGCATCCCAGCTTCCCTCCCCTCCGTCTGAAGCAGGAGGGAAAGGTGGTGAAAACAGAGTTTCCTTCTTGGAAGATGTCCCACAAACTTGTTCCTCACTACAGGAGACATTCGCTCCTCCACATCTAGTGCCTAYGTGAAGCTCCAGACCAGCCGTTGTTCCAGCCAGCTCAGCTGCTCCTCTGAGCAGGTCTCCTCCTCGCCGTGTTCCTCCTTGAGCATCGTTGACACCAGGCCCCAGTTCACTGTCGAGCCCTGCAGTGGCACCATCCCTGCTGRTCAGGAACAGCTCTTCCAGATGAAATTCTCTCCGGTGGACGTGGGCGAGTTTGAGGGCTGTATGTTCTGCAGGTAGGAAACAGTGAGAAGGGGTTACTTTTTGACTCGCACTGCTGGTGAGCAGCCCATGATCTGACTGGGTGCAAATGCAGACATGGATAGAGCCAGCAGAAACGATCAACGCACCAGAGCAGACGGAAAGGATCGTCTGGCTTGGTAGAAGCTGGTGCAGAGACACATGGAAAAGACGTTATATGAAATATTAACCTCCTTGGGGGGATTCTTACAAAGCCTGTTTTCAGAAGGGTGGAAAATAACTCCAGAGGCTCTTCTGTGCCATATCAGGGAAGAGTTGTGACTAGAATCCTTTCTGGGCAGCTTTGGGGAATCCCTCCAGCCCCCTGAGGTTTAGATCTTTAGACAGGGGCTTTTGGAGACGTGTGAGGGGTTGCCCAGAGGCTGCAAAATCTGCACTGGGAGATGCAAAAAGGTTGTCAAGGGGCCGACTAGTCCCTAGTGATTTGTCCTTATCTGACCAGCACAGTGTCCRTATATATGTTATTTATATTTATATGACACCTATAGACTGCTTCTGGTCTCTRGATAGGCAACTATCTGTGTTTCTGCCATTTCATCTCTGCTGCCTCTGTGGTGGGGAGTTTGGTCTCACTGAGTGAGAATGCAACACTCTGCTCCGTAAGTTCTACTCTRTAAGTTGGTCGGTAGCTGGCTGGCTGGAACAGCCTGCCTAATCCTTGTCCTTTTCTTCCTAGCATTCCTAATCTGAAGCCAAACCAGAAGGGCCCAGAAGTGGTTGTGAGGGGGAAAAGCCTCCTGCCACGTTGCCACTTTGAACTGGAAGACTCGGACTACATCACTGCCAACAGACGCAACCCAGACTTGCGGGGACCCAAGGGGACAACGTTAGATCCCAAAACAAGAGTGATTGAGTTCTCAGCAGTTGGGATTTGTAGCCGGAGCAGCAGGTAATTGKGGACGTGGTTTCTCCTGCCAGTGGTTACCCGATCACCTCCCTCTTAATGAGAGACCTTTGTAGCTCCTCTTCCAAACCTCCAAAATAYAGGATATAAAGATTGTAGGAGATACAGATTACATAGGAGATATAGATACAGATAGGAGAYATAGATTACACACAATACCTTGTGTGTAATCTGCTACCCCTTGGACCACCGGCCTGTTTTGAGACTGCAGCAAGCTAGTCAATGAAGATCAGTTTGCCATTTTTGCTCTCTTTGTCCCTTCCTTCAAAAAGAGCAGCTGCCAAACAGAGACCCTAAGAAGCAGATGAACCATCCATGTTGTCTGCCCATGCCTGACAACCCTTTCAGATCATGTCCAGGACTACCAGTGCCTGATGTGTGCTGCAGGACAGTCGTTAATGTCTCAACCCCACCTCAGAAGTCATCTCTGCTTTGTGTGCCCAGGGCCTTCATGCTTATGAACCCAACCAGCTCCACATACTCCTTCCAGTGGACTTGCCAAGACCCAGAAGCGCCAAAAGAGCAACCAGCTTTCTCCTGTCTCACAGAGAGAGGTCAGATCCTGCCAGAGAAGAAAGTAGAGGTGAGTACAAAAAAAGACAAAGAAGGTGGGTCCAAATTTTKGTGTGCGTCACGCTGACACCCACCCGCAGCCTCTACTGGGGCGTCCCTGGGCTACTACTACAGAGTAGTGACCTGGCAGGGTATGAAAACTACTCTCCTGCTGTGCCAGGTCTGATGTGTTTGGGCTGTAAGTGGCATAGAGACCTCTCAGAGCTGGCAGCTATGGGCTTTCTTAGATGGAGATAAGATGGAGCTATTCTGGGGTTTCTCTGTTACAACCCCCTCTCTTTAACCCTGTTTTGCTCCTTTTCATTTGTCTCTTTCTTCCCCAGATCAAGTTTGAATTCATCCCTCAGCACCTGGACATCACAGAATCATTCTGGCTCTTCACAATCCCTGAGCAGAGCATCTCGATCCCCTTCCTGCTGGTGGGCCATGCCACCGACCCGTTAGTGTCTCTGGACAGGTCCCACCTGAACTTCCACTCGCTCTTAGTGGGTGAGTAGTGCAGGGAGAGCACCACACATACGTGCCACTCCAGGGCCCTGGCAGCCCTGTTGTTCTGGAAKGCTCTAAAGAGGAGGCTGGAAGTGGAAACAAGCACTTGTAAGCAGATCGGTCAGCACCCAAGTGGATGAGGGAGAGGAAGAGGAAGGGAGGCATGTGGTTGGGRCTGTTTGCAAAGGAAGAGTTGTGGAGAGGTCCCAGAGAGGCCCAAAGCGCATGGGCCTGTGAGCCACTTCAGCCTGGGAGAGCCCCCGGCCAGTCTTCTTGTGTCCTGGAGCACAGGGATCTTGGAAATGGAATTTTGGAAATAGAGTCTGCCTTTGTCCTAGAAGTGGTGCAAAGACCACAGTCTTCAAGGACACCACTTCTAGGACAAACACCTTCACCTGAAGAATCCCTGGGGGATCCTCACCAACTATGCAGCATCTCACTTCYTGCAGAGGCAGAACCGTTTTGGGGATAGGCCTTTTGAGGACAGTTTCTTTGAGTCATCTTTTAAAACATCTCATATTTGACTGCTTAGTCATCTCAGGGTGGCTGATGGGTGCTCAGGGAAAGCTGGGGCAGTTGGATTCCATCTCGGTGCACACAGCTGAAGGTGGTGGAGCTGCCCCTGGTGGACAGGCCACGGTCATGGGCTCTGTGTCCATGTCCTGTTCWGTGCAAATTGCCTGCTCTGCTCAGCTGGCCGGCAGGAAGACGCTGTGCGGTGGTAGCCTGGTCCTCAGAGAAACTGAGGGTTTTCAACTGATGCCTTCTCCTTACCCAGGGCATGAGATGTACCAGACAATCCACATGATCAACAGTGAGAAGGAGGCCTTCAGCTTCACTTTCAGAGAAAGCTCCTTCTTCCCCGAGGCCTGCAACGCCTGCTTGAATGTAGAGCCCCGGCAAGGCTCCATCGCGGCCCTTTCAAGGTACCAGGGCTCTCGGGTGCCGCTGTGAGCTCCTAGCCCCATTCCCAAGCACCAAACGTCACCCCGTCGGTTTTCCTTTTGAGGGTGTCCCCTCTGCAGTCACCAGGGGACTCTCAGCAGGAGCAGGTTTTTGTCTGGCTTCTTCTTTTCCCAGAGGGGGATGTGGTTCTGTTGCTGCTGTCTCTGTGAAGTAGCCGTGATCCGACCTTGTAGGCCATCTTCCTGGAGAAATTCAGGGTTAGAGTTTCTGATTTTGATGACAACAGTGTGTTTTTTGTGTTTGAACCTTGTGATCTCTGAAAAAAAGTAGCTCMAAGTGTGCGAGCTGTGCTCTTATTCACTGCCACTATCATTTCACTGCTTAATGTACTCAGGCCTAAATCTGCTCTTACCAGGACTTGCTCCATGATGGAAGGCACCAATGGAACAGGCAGGGTGCTGCTCCTGATTTCTTCCAGGCCTAACGTCTCGCCGATGTGGGACCAGGAAAGCTGTAAGAAGCAGTGAACTGAGCAGGAAGGTCTTCTCTTCCCAGGTGTCCCATCACAATCTCCTTCATACCAGTTCTGGAAGGAGAGGTGGTCTTCAACCTCATATGTGATGTCAAGAGGAAGCCCCTGCCCCTCTCCTTGAACATCAAGGCCACCGCCTATAGCACAAATGTGTGTGTGAGGTTTGAGGACAGAGAGGGCTGCGTTGCAGAGCTCAGCGCGCAGGAGATCAACATCATTAACTTCAGGAAGGTGAGTGGTGCTGGTTCCCTGACCACTTGTCCCAAGGAACCCTACAAGATTGGACCCTAGCTTAAAGCTCAGCAATTCTACTTGAACAAGAGGAGGAGACACTTTCCCTCATTTATGTGTATRCTCCAGTCTCTAGAGCAAGTCGTTAGCTGATGGTAGAAGATCCTGGCTGGTGCTTTCCAGGTACTGTAACCACTTGCCCCCATTGACTTCTTCCCACAGGTGGAGTTAAACGAAAACATTCAAAATATCTTTACCATCAGCAATACTGGGAAGCTGAGCTTCACGTTCTCCTGGGAACTCAGCAGCCCTCCAGCACAGAAGCAGTTCCTCACCATTACCCCTCAGACGGGCACTGTGGAGGCCGAGGGGAAAGCAGAGGCTCTGCTGACTTTCCACCCGCGGAAGATCTGCTCCATAAAGAACGTGGGGCTGACGCTGCAGGTGAGTGAGAAGCATTTCCTGCTGTGACCTTTCCTTCCCTACGCGAGGCAGGAGCTCCTTCACTGAAGAGTGAAGCCTTTAGTGTCTTCAGTATCTCACAGCAGAGAGGCTCCTGACACCCAGCTGAAGAGCCTGACAGCTCCTGAGCTGCACACTGAAGTGCTAGCCCAGGCCCACTCGCTTTTGAGGCAGGAGCTTCAAAATGCCTCCTATGCCCCTAGTTTGAGGAGCACCCTAGAAGGCTGGGAAGGGCCTGTTCCTCTCTTCCTGAACCAGGTCCCACAGCTCACCAAGGCCCTGCCGACATATGGCAGCTCAAAGCATTGGGCTGTGACTCTCTTAAAATCTTACCACCTCAGCCCAAGCATCTCACTTTCAGTTACTGTTCTGGGGTCTTTGGAACGTTTCTGGGGTTCTTTGGCTCTCTTGTATTGCCACTACAGCCAGCAGTCCCCCATCACCTCTTTCAGCTGTCTCCAGTGTTCAGTTCCCGTTCTGGGTGCCATCCACACCTCTTCTCCTGGCTCATTCAGTCTTTTCCCCCTTCACCCCAGATCAGCAAGGGCCCCAAATTTGTCTGCGTGTTGCTGGCCACCGTGGTGGTGCCCACCGTCTGCTTCTCCTCCACCAAGCTCAATTTTGGCACTTGCTTCGTCTACCACGCCGGGATGCCACCGGCCCAGCAGACCCTCGTCATCACGAACAAGGCGGACAAGGATGTCAGGTGGGCCGGCCCTGATGGCAGCTTTGAGCCCTGCTCCTCACACGACTGGCCTGTGTCCTCGTGGCCAGCAGGGCTCTTTGTGCTGCCAGCAAGGACATGGGGCCACGTCTTGGTCACCCACCCTGGTGCTCGCCGGGGTGACAGTGCTGCTCCCAACTCCTCGCGGGAGCTGGGCCTGCTGTGCCAGTCCTCCCTGCCTGTGTGCYCACCCCTCTGTTTTGGTTGTGTGAGATGCCAGGGTTTGGCAGGCTGATTTGAGTTTTTGATTTGCCAAGGAGAAGTATTCCCTTCCCTGAGCGCTCTTCACACGAGGGACCTGTTCAAGACTATTCCCCACTATCTGCTGAGCTGCCAATGGCCCCAGCTCCCATTATAAACAGCCCCTTGGACACAGCCAGTGCCTGAGGATGCAACGAAAGGAGAATGGAGTGCCCCAGGAAGCCCTGGCATCACCCACTGGGCACGCAGCCTTATGACACCTCTGTTCCTCTGCTCTGCTTCCTCCCAGCTTGAGCTGCTTGTTCACCAGCACCCCACACCTGGAGGTGGATTTCCCGGGCTACACACTAGCCCCAGGAGGGACGGTGGAGGTGCCCATCACTTTCTACCCCAGAGAGGCTGTGTCCTATCGTGAGCTTGTCCCTTTTGAAATCAATGGTCTTTCCCAGCAGACCGTTGAAGTCCAAGGAAGGGGCACAGAAATGAAGGTGAGACCAAACCCCATCCTAAATCTCCGGGTGCTGGCCAGACAATATGTCTGTTGCCCTCATTTGCCTTGTCTCTCTTCCCTGGTCTGTCATAGTTTGGTCTTCTGCTGCCTAAGTCCTGTTTCTTTTCACTTCCTACTCAGGTTGACGTTGTAGAACCGCAACGGAAGGTGGTGAAGTTGGGAGCCCTCTCCGTCGGGCAGACGGTGAAGAAGACTGTCACCATAGCCAACAACAGTGCTGCCCCTCTCACTTTTCAACTCCATTTCATACACACCGTGCCAGAGTTGCAAGAAGCTGGGGTAAGCTGGGCCTTTGCCATCGGTGGAGAACACTTTGCTGGGGTGTCCGCAGGTAGCAGTGGGTTCCTCTGGGCAGGAGCTGGCTTTGCTCTAGCACATTGCTGCATCCAGAGGAACATCTTCCTTCAGTCGTGCACACTTGTTTTCTCTGAGCACGGCRTAAAAATGACTGCAAAGCTCCACACCGGAGCAGATCCGGAGATCAGCAGCCTTGGGACGCAGGCGGATTGTGTGTCCTTAGCTTCCTCAAAGACAGCTCCAGAGCTCCTTGTTCCTTGAACTGAAATTGCCTGGAGATTCCAGGCTTGGGCTTTTGCCTTTGTGGACATCGTAGTCAGTATGTGAGAGAAATAAAGTGCTGATCAGCCCCCTTCTGTGCAATATATCAATATTCCCTTGTGCACAGATAGCCCAAAGCCTTTTCTCAAGATATTTTTCTCCCTCTTGTGGGTGTTAGTCATCAAAGCTTGCTAAGGGTTAAATTCCGAAGGGTTAAAGCAGAATATAATGTGTTAATTGATCCATGGAAAAGATGATCACTCTCATCTTCAAGATTTCTTCTTGCACTTGCAGAAATAAGTTGTTTGGTGCTTTATGTAATGTTTGTCACCAAATGGGACTGGGTTGGTTTAATTGCAGTTAATTATAGTTGCATGTTCTCCTGGCTAGCGAGCTTACCAGCGGATGTTTGCAATGTAGATGTCTCACACAAGGTASGTGCCAGGAACTCTCTTGAAGAGCCAAAATTGAGAAGTAAGAATAATTCCTCTGATGCGTTTTTAACCTGTACAGTAGTTTGCAGCTGTATATTCTAGACCCGTAGAGTTAAAGGAGTTAAAGTCCTGCTTTGAAGACAAAGAGTTGCTGCTCTCTTGGAGCTTACATGAAGTGACTTTGGAAGTGACAGTCCAGCTCCCCGTGGCTAGATCTTACAAGAGAACAAGATCTTGTAAGATATTACAAGAGAACATCCTTGTTACCTAGGGAAGAATATCAGAGATCGGGTGAGATTGGAGGAAACCAATCAGGAATGGTAGAAACCAAACAGGAATGAATCTGAATTGGAAAAATCTCCTGTAGCTCTAGCTCAGAAGGATTCACTTCCAGTAGCCAGATGRAGTAGCCTCTGTTTATTTCTTTGAGCAGGTTCTTTGCTTGAACCCCTGCAGTGAAGTAAGTCTGAAGCCCAAAGGAGATACCTGTAAAGTGGAGGTCATCTTCTCCCCCAAGCGCCGCGTGCTGCCGTTCAATGAAGAAGTAACCCTGGAGTGCTATGGCCTGGTGCGCTCGCTCTTCATGGTGCAGGGCTCCTGCCAGGGCATCGATGTGAACCTGGACCGAGAGTACATCAACTTCGGAGCAGTGTTGCAGCACAGCCGCACGAGCCAACGCATCCTCATGCAGAACACAGGCGACATAGGAGTCAGGTAATGCAAAACTGGAGCGCCGGCGAGCTTGGATAGAGGCTGGGGGCAGGATGGGACCGTGGCTGCCCATGCAGTTGTTCCCATCTCCTTTGACCTCCTGGGGACAAGGCAGCAGGCTGGGAGGGACCAGGGCCAGCTGGCAGAGCCTTGCAGAGGATGCTGCRCCTGCCCCCAGGCCCGTCCTGCTGTGTTGTGTCCTCCTGAGCTCCTCACGGGGAGCAGATATCGAGCACTGCACGTGTGCTCCAAGGCTTTGCAGCCCAGTCCTCCCATCTAGCAGAGGGCTGCAACTACCTGCTTGTTTGCAAGTAGGTGCAGCTGAGCGAGTCTTGCAAGCAAGTCTTGCCCAACTTGGAGCCCTCAGCCCACTGTTCACAGCCTCCCCATTGTTAATGCTTGCTGTCCTTGTKCTTTCCCTTGTAAGGTTCAAGTGGGACATCAAGAGCTTTAAGCCATGTTTCTCCATCAGCCCCGTGAAGGGTTACATCTCCCCAGGAATGGACATCCCTCTGCTTGTGACCTTCCACCCCTGCAAGCCGGGCCAGGCTATCCAGTACGATGGCCTGAAGTGCTTCATCCCGGGCAGTGAGCCGCTCCGGGTGACGCTTTCAGGATGCTGCGTGGAGGTCTCAGCCTCCAAAGAGGTAATGGAAGCAGAGCTGGGGCAATTGCGTCTCCACCGACCTCACCACCACTGTTACGGGGCTTGGCACAGAACTGGTCTGAGCCCTGTCCAGCTTTCCCTGATTCTGCCTCTCTTTCCTCCACATCTCTGCAAGTGGGTGAGGAGACACCAGCCCCATGAGCTCAGTAAGACCAAGCAGCCTTTTGTGCTCCTCCGTTGCAGACGCTGAACTTCACCTGTGACGTGCGCGAGAAGCAAAGCCAGACCATCCTCCTGTCCAACCCGAGCAACGAGGCCTGGACCATGCATCCCRTCATCGAAGGGCAACACTGGGAAGGGCCCGAACTTTTTCATCTAGAGGCCGGTCAACAAAACAAGCCCTACGAAATCACTTACAAGCCCCTCACCATGACCTCCGAGAACAAGAAACATCAGGTACGTAAGCTGCACCAGCATGCTGCTCCTCGTAATGTTAGCCTCATGGGTGATTCTGCTTTGAGCAGGAGTTTGGCCTTGGTGACCTTCAGAGGTGTCCTCTAATCTGAATTTATCCTATGCTGGATAAATTTATGGAAACTGGATTTCTTTGTGGCTAGAGGTTCAGAATAGGGCTGGGCCGGTATGGCAGTTGGCATTGACAGCTAGATGTAACGGAGGAGCTAACCTAAAATGCCAGGTTGTCCAAGGCTCCGAGAAGTGAGGTTTGTTCTGTACAGCTCCTCGTCCCTGTGTGTGCAGCCCTGGGGGCTCAGAGGCCTTTCTGGTGAGCTCTACAGGCTCCCCAAGCCCCGCGCAGGGCTAGTTCAGCCAGAGTTGGACCTTGTTGCTGCCTAAGGTCCTTTTGCAGATAGCAGGAAAGGCCAGGAAAGCTCACTAGGTTTCTTCCTTCTCTCTAGGGCTCCATCTTCTTCCCCTTACCAGATGGGACGGGTTTACAGTACTTCCTGCAGGGCACTGCTGAGGCACCAAAGTGTTCGGGCTCTATTTTCCGGGAGGTACCGTGCAGGACTTCCCACACGGAGCTCATCCCTGTCTCCAACTGGCTGAACAGACCACAGAGGTGAGTTGAGGCCAGGAGCTCTCATCTCACCAGCAATCCCTGCAGTGGCGTATGAAGTCCCCTCAGGATGAGAGGAACTGTGTTGTTATTCCCGTGTGATGTTGTCCTGTTGACCATGTGCTCCTCACTTGCAGGTTCCTTGTGGTAGTGGACATACTGAAGCCCGAAAAGGTGGAAAGCAGCTCCGTGCTGCAGGGGCTGGAGTACATTGATGTGCCCGGCTGCAGCCAGAAAGACTACAAGCTCACGTTCCTCTCTTACAAGGAAGGGCTCTTCAACACGATGGTAAATGTGAACACTGGGCCTGGGTCCTTCACAGAGCTGCTTCCTCACTGGGAGAAAAAGCTGCCCGTCTCTTCTCATACCTCTGTGTGCCCGCAGGTGGAGCTGTAGATCCCAGTGGGCTACCAAGCAGGAGGCATCTGCTCTTTGTATAGACCTTTCATGCTGTTAGTGAGGGTCTAGGAGAGACCTGGTCTTGAGCTCTTCCTAGGAGGCTGCTTGCTGTTGTCCTTGGGGAAAGGGTGCTGAGCTAGAGGCTCTTTCAGCTGGCTGAACACAGCCAGGATGTTTTTGTGTGTGCAGTGACTCGTCCTTCCCTTCTGCTCTGATTTAGGTGACCTTCCTCAATGAGGTGACCGAGGAATACTTGTTCTACYTGGTCACCTTCAAAGCTACGGCTTCGGGCCCCATCAGCACTATCGAAGTCGTGGCCCCTATTCGGGAGAGTGTGTCCTCATCCATCAGGGTGAGCAACCCTCTGTCCATCCCAGTGACGTTTGCCACCGATTGCAAAGTGCCCGACATCAGTGTTCCCTCACAGTTCACTGTTCCTGCTTTGTCAGAGGTAGGTGCAAAGCTTGTCCAAGACTCTCTTCTCTTTCTGGGGCCTTTCACAGAGCAGAAAGGCCCTGCTTTTAGAGGGTCTCGCTTTTTGAGTGGTGCCCTCCATGCTCTCTATGGGGCTGCTTTTCAAGGGTAGCAACCCTCACATGAATATGTTTTCTGAAGTTGGGGATTTTGCCTTGATTTCCCTGAGGAAGGCTGCTGGAATGCCAACCTCTCTGCTTCAAAACTCAWTTTGGCAGATGGCAAAAGCTTGCAGAGCTATTAGGATCCTTGCARTGTGTTGGATTGGGATATGACGTGCAAGTAAAGCACTGGAATTATATTTCAGCTCTTTAATGTGGGGGTCATGAGTGAAGATAATTGAGGGTGGGAGGCTGCTGGGATAGTGCTGGAGGGCTCTTGCTTGCTCAGAACAATCTCCAAGGAAATTGTCCCCCAGCTGCAGCAGGGCTCTGTTCTGCTGATTGGAGTGACTGTGCGCTGCTRTCCTGCATCCCCTTGTCCCAGGCCCTGCCTCCCCTCTCTCCACATGACCCAGTGGCCCTTCTGTCTCTTCCTCCCAGACCAGCCTTGTCTTTGAGTATCAGCCCTTGAAAGTTGGGGAGAGCACTGGGCACCTGGTGCTCCAGAGCAGCGACTTGGGCTCTTTCTGCTATGACCTGAACCTGAAAGCCACCGCCAGCAGGCCTGAGAAGCCACTCTACTTCTGCACTGCATTGGGCTCTAACCAGACCCTGACCGCCAAATTCATCAACTATATCCGACAGAAGACAGACTATGTCCTTCAGGTACCCCCAGGGTCACCCCACCATGCTCCCCCTGGGCCTTTGTGGGAGACAAGGAGCCCTCCCCRGCAGCCGGGGTGGGAGATAGCTCATCTTGCTGATGTCACCGTGTTCCTTTGGGAGCTCCTGCCCCCCCCAGCTTGACCTGATCTAACTGTGGTGGGAATACAAGGCTCTTCCCACCACAACAGTGCCTGTCCCCAGCAGGACTGTCCATCCTTCTCCAATGTCCTTGTTGGAGCTCCTGTTGCAGCTCCTTTGGAGTTTGGACTTCTAAGTTACTGCCAGAAGTAGTCCAGGGCTTAAGGTCCCCCATGGTTTGGGTTGCAAAGTTGTCCCTAGTGGGAACATTTGGGTGTCCRTATGGCCACTCATCATGGGTACCCACCTAAGGGTGGGAGCAGGAGCCTTGTGACCTCAGCCACGGTGCTGCGTGACATGGGGCACCAGGGCTGGGTCTGCTTTGGGGACCTCCTGTTGTAATCTTCTTCGTCCCTGTTGCAGCTGGACTGTGCCGATTTCCAAGTGGAGAAGACCCTCAGCGTGGCTGCGGCCAGCGTGGGGGGCTCGGAGGTGAGCGTGGAGGTAACCCACGAGCCGAGCCGCCTGGGCGAGACGCGGGCCACGCTGCTGCTCTCCTCGCCGCTCGGTGGGGACTACAGCATCCCGCTCTTCGGCCTCGCCGTGCCGCCCAAGCCRCAGGGCCCCTTCCAGATCCGCGCCGGCTCCAGCACCTCCATCCCCTTCAAAAACGTCTTCTCGGAGCACGTGACCTTCCGCTACGATGTGGAGAACGCGGCGTTCGCCGTGCGCGCCACCGAGCACCTGCGCCCCAAGAAGAGCATCTTCATCACGGTCTCCTTCGAGGGGAGCCCCGGCGGCAGCCGCGCGCCCGTCACCAGCCGCCTCGTGGTGTCGTGCGCGCAGGCGGGCGCCGTCTCCTGGGTGTACTACCTGCGCGGCGTCACCCCTGAGCGCTGAGCTGCTGGCCTTGTGTGGTGACACCATGGCCCTCATCSCCACTGTGTATGGTGACACCATGGCCCTCGTCCCCCTGGGTTTGGTGACACCATGGCCCTCGTCCTCACTGTTTGGTGACACCATGGCCCTTGTCCCCATGGATT